GCGGGTATTTGGTGTGGTGTACGTCCTGAACGGTGAAGGACGTTCGTATTTCGAGAAGGTAAAAGCTGCGACTTGTGGGATGTGTGATGAAGCTTGCTTTGAAGTGGGTGCTAGAGGCGGCTGCTGAATCTCTTCGTAGGCGGGTGGTTGTGGGGTGAATGACGCAGGTGTAGCCAAGGAAGGACGGCCAGCCTGAGTAAGGTCATCTCTAATAACGGTGCGCAGTTCCGCGGTGGGAGAGGTGTTGAGGGTTGGGAAGGGTCCAAAATTTCGTGGGAGTTCCTCTCGGATGATGGTTCGGAAGATGTTGTGGAGCAGATCGCCCTAAAGCAAAAGAGAAATGGCCACCTTGGATGTCGGCAACGTATCGCTGTTGGAGATCCTTTGCTTCGAGCTGCCTCTAATGATTGACAGAGAGATCGGATAGAATTGACGTCAACAGGACGCTGCAGTACAAAAAGGAAGACTGCTTCTTCGGCAATACCTTTTAAAACGTGACGTACACGGTATACTTCAGGCATAGCAGGGTCAACTTTGCGGCACAGGGTAGGGATATCTTCAATGTAGGAAGTATATCCTTCAGTGGGAAGCTGGGCCCGGACAGTCAAGCGCCTGCGCGCAGCGGCCTTACGGTCCTCAGGGCGTCCGAAGACGTCGTGAACACGAGATGAAAATGTCTCCCATGATGTGATATCGGACTCATGGTTAAGGAACCGTGTCTTGGCGACGTCGCTGAGATACAAAACAACGTTCGTCAATTTAGTGTGGTCGTTCCACCTGTTGTGAAGTCTTGCCCTTGTGTATAAATCCACTCATTCTTCGACATCTTCGTCGCCGATACCAGAAAACACACGAGGGTGTCGTTGGCGAGAGGACATGTAGAGCAGCGGCGGCTGCGGTGGAATGCCGATCACATGAGGAGGAGTTGATCCGAGAGTTCCCTCTGCACCGATCCTAAGATGGGACACTTAACGTCAGCGATAATAATTAGATCCACATGAAAGTGCGACACAGTCCTAAGTCGAGGGTCAGGGATCTCAAACCATAGATTCGTATAAGAGTCCAATTGACTGTGAACAAGCGTACGCCACAGTTCAAGTTGTTTCTCTCTGCTGTTGTGTGTGAGACGACGCACAACTCTGCGCCAGTGAACGTTGATCCTCTTCAGGTAAAATTGAGCTTTGATCTAAGCAAACCATGCCGCGAAGGTTCTTTACCCAAATTGTTGGAAGCCAAACCTGGAGTGTAGATAGTCCGGTCCCACGTTCGGGAGGGCTCTGCTCCATCTTTTGAAGGTCGGTCCGGAAGAGGAAGGGGACGTTCGCGCGGGGCAGAGGGCTAGCGGTCAGCCAATGCGTTGGCTGATGGCTCGACGATGAAGTCTACCTTCGGTGTTGATCTCCGGGTCCCCAATTAAAGTTTACAAAGTGGCCCTTCATTTATTTATAAAGAAAAAATAGAGAAACGAAGGAGTAGTCGCCGGACAGGGAGCTAGGCCGTTGAAGTAGCCGGACGATGCCGACGTTCCGTCTCGAGCTAGCACCTCTCGAGGTGTGAGTGTCCACCTGGGCCGGTTTGCTCATCTTGCGGCCGCGGCTGCGGCCAAGAGAGATTTTTCTGTCACGCGAACAGCTCCACGGGGACAAGGAAGTACAGGTCCCCTCAAAGTAAAACGGAGCGCCGGAGCGGCGACCGAACTGCATCACCGCGCTATCTAGCAGTGCCGGCTGGAACTGATAGGCTACATCTGCGCATGCGAACGTGCCTTCCGCTGGGGCCTCCGTTTTCTTCTTCCAACCCACAAGTTATTGGTGGTTCGAGCGGCGCAACAATCATCCTGATATCCACGCCTGATAGCACAAGGGGCGGTGCTCATCGACAACACTGGCCCTTTCCCACTTGCCCTATGCGTTATCTCCGTGTGTGAGCCGAACACCTAGCGGTGTTTATCGGTACAGCGTTTGGCAGCTCGAGTCGCCGATAACGCGAGGATCAAACAAGAAAGACGGAGGACACCGCGAACGGCACGCGCGCATGCCCAGACGGCACCTATCAGTTGCTGCCGGCGCCGCTAGATAGCACAGCGATGCAGTTCGGTCCAGAGCCGTGTATTGGGAGAGTTTGGCCAACAGGCGGAGCAAAGGCCGCCGCCAGCGCCGAATATTCCCCCCGCGCTTAGAGCGTAAACTAAATTTGTGACACAGCGTCGACCAATCAGGAGACCGCGACGTCAGAATATTGCAAACGACATTCAAAGCGTGAAATAGAGGCGTTCAATCTCGGCCACTCTGCTCCATCTCACAAATGTCGGCAGTGAAGACAAAGGTACACGCGCGTGAACCTAGCTCAGCAAAACGCTTTCGTTTGTATGTGAACTCGTGCGTAGGAGCCACTTTCCAAAGCCACGCGCTCGTGCCCATGCTTTTCTCTGCACTGCTGATGTTGGCTTGTTAGAACAGCGTCCTGGAGACGCGGTGTCCCGCTCAGCTCGTGCGCTGGCTTTGGCAGTGCTTTCTTTCACCGTCTCAGCTGAGACGCTGTTTCTAGCAAGTCGGCCCTGGTTTGGAGCGCACGTTCGTTTATTCTACACTTGAATATTGGCGTGACGAAAACCTCGCACGCACAAAGTTTTCAGTCACTGAGAGTCACACCTTTTAACTCTAGCGACGCTAAAACGGCTTGAATTAGTCGTGTCACAAATTTAGAGCTCACGACCACCGCTAGGGGCTGTTTCGCGGCCTGTGGTTGGCCCCGAGATGCTCGCCTATTCAAACCAATGTATGGCCAAACTCTCTCGATAAACGGCTCTGGTTCGGTCACCGCTCTGGCGCTCCGTTTTACTTTGAGGGGACCTGTACCTAGCGTCCCTGCGTAATCGCGGGGAAGTCCATATCGCTTCAGGCACAAAAACCTAATTTCGCTCGCATAAACTGACTGCAGGGACTTTCAACTGGAGTCCAATTGACCGCCCCTTTATACTGTAAGGGCGGCCGGTAAAGTTACGACCAGGAAGAGTAAATATGAGCCAAATAAAAGAAAAAGCCACGTGAGATAAAAGCGGTGGGAGTATATTTATATACCTCCGCCAGCGCTGGCGGCTTGCGCCTTATGCTATGGTCGAGAGGTTAGAGCGCAGGTACATGTCGACGCGGGTTCAAATCGCGCTAAGAACTTGTTTTCTTTCTGTATTTTGCGCGTGTTCCATTTTTGAACTGTGATCCTTTTTACGAATCATCCACTTGCACTACTTCGCCTTACACTGTTTTTACTGTTAGTCCCACCTGCTCAATCGAAACATCGCGAAGAAATAAAAAGATCAAGGCAAGTTAACGCGCAAATACAATCGTTTCATAATATTCATTAAAAGGAAACCAAAGTAACTGCATGGGTATGGCTTTCACACAAACGGAGCCGAAACAAGCATCCTTTCCCCAGCAACTATAATTTTAAGTGTTCTTAAATATACAACGCTCTTGCTACGACTTCTTTCAATAACAGGAGACGCCTATTTAGTACCACTAAAAACCGCAGTTGTGACAATTGAAAGAAGAAACTTCCACAAAATAAGCAAAAGTAATGAAGACTAGCAGCTGTGGATGCATTGATTGAGCGAAATCCTACAGGCAAGGCAGCAAGTCAAACGTCTGAGAAAGTAGTAAAACCAAAATGAAAGAGATCATACTTTTACTTGCATGGAATGTGATAAAAGGTATATCTTTACTCTTTACATTTTGCTGTGACAATCGTTTTGTAATGTTAACACATTACTTGTTGAATTTTAGTTGGAATAGCAGACGATCACAATTGAATGTAAAAATAAATCAGGCGTCGACATCGCAAACCCTCTCTCTAACTCAAACACCTAAAAGGACTTTGGATCAACAAATGGAATTAATTAGAGCAGTTGGAAGACGGAATTAACAAATTCTAGAGAAATTTAGCAGCACAGTTACCTGGCGAACGAAGAGACGGGCATGGGAAGATATTGTCAACTTTCCGCGGAGTGTACGGCAGATGCAGTAGGCGTGGGGGAAGTTGGTAAAGTAAACTAGAGACATGCATGCGCTCTTCCGAGGTCATGAACAACGAACTGGTGAGTCAGAACTACCCACCCAATGATTTTATAGAGCTCATAGGGCCTTGTCTACATTCTTAGTGGGAGTGCACATCAAATACAAGAAGAAAAAAAAAAGAGAGTTCCTGGCGCGATCTGAACTCGGGACGTTCACGCCGCGACGTCAAGTGCCGGCGCTCTAATCTCTCGGCCACAGCAGAAGGCGCGAGCCGCCGCCGCTGGCGGAAGAATATAAATATACTCCCGCCACTTTTATCTCGCGTGGTTATTTTTTCTTTATTTTGGCTCATATTTAACCTCCCTGGCCGTAACTTTACCTGCCGCTCCTACAGTATAAAGGGGCGGTCAATTGGACTCCAGTTGAAAGTTCATGCAGTCAGTTGCTGCGAGTGAAGTTCGGCTTTTGCGCTTGAAGCGATACGGATTTCTCCGCCATTAGAGCAGGGACGCTAGGTACTTCCTTGTCCCCATGGAGCTAGTCACGTGGCAGAAAAATCCCTCTTGGCCGCAGCCGCGGTCGGGTCCGCAAGATGAGCAAACCGGCCCTGGAGCGCGCTGTTAACGTGGCTTGGTTCATGAACCACATAGTTACCGTTGTCGCCGCGGAGCCGCTACACACCTCAAGTGTTCACTCTCCCTCAGTGCCGTGAATAAAACAATCAAAATTTAGAAAAGAAGAATAGTTTTTTTTCTATCTGTAGGTCCGGTCCAGTCAGTCCCAAGCTAAGGAAACAAATTCGTCATTCTATAAAAATGACGCAAATTGACAATATATTTGGAGTCCGCTCTCTTTACGAGACTATGTTTTTCGTTTTTGCACTAGGGAATATTTTTGTCGGGACCATTTATTCCGAGATATTTTTTTCCGGGAAAAAGGTTTTCCTATAGTCAAACCTAACATGATCGAAAGGCTTCAATGATGGGCTATGAAGAAAAAACAAGCTTTATTAAGCAAAAAACCAAGCAAGTTGTTCAAGCATCATCGGTACCGCTCTTTCTGCCACTTTCTCACGGCATCCTGGAGCATGCCAGGCGGGAATACTGATCCACGAGAACTTTTCTCATAATCTTTCCGGTTTCTGTTCTTGGGAGTGAGTCGGCGAAGAACACACCTCCAGACAGGTGCTTGTGCGGTGCGCAGGCTTCTAAAATTGAACGAAAAAGTTATTTAGTTTAAATCTCAATTTTGTTGATCCTTTATTCATGTTCACATTGAAATCAAATTCGTCACTCAAGACCACTTAACTCCACCAGGGCTTTCGTGCTAGACTTCACGATATACGCGATTTAATGCGTGCAATATGTCGCTCTGTGCAAAAACATAAGTAATTGTCGAATAGATGTTAGTACTTCTGAGAAAGCCACATCTATGCATGACGCATTCTCAGAGATCAGACACCTACATGCCGTTGTCGGTTGAGCTGGGGCACTGATGGCACAACGAAACGCGCCCGAACAAGCGCTTCGAAAGCATTCGTACGGGGAACGTACGAATAAGCACAAGACTTTCATTGTAAATCGCTGTTATTCGTCCAAATACGTATATTTCTGCACAACAATAAACGCATTTACTATTCCTTGCGTTTGAAATGGACGACTTGAACAACCAACTCGCGCGGTGTTGTCCCTCGCGCTGCTGGCGCTTGAAGGTGGTTGACGTACTATGTCTATTTATCTGGTCCGGAATGAATCATAGTCGTTCTCGTTAGATGAAAATAGCCACTTGGCGCCTGTTTTCATCGAACGAGAATAACTTGCTTTTACGTTGACATAGCCACATCGAATGTAGATAAAAAAAATATATATATATTTTTTTTGGCTAGTTTTGGCGCAGTATTTGCGCTTGGCATGATGGCACGGCGAAAGGGGATTGGCGCACAACGGCGCAATGCGCGCAGCGCTTCCACCCCTGGTAACCCACTTTATGGAACGAATGGAAGAGCCCGTGTCGTTGCCTTCGACTGCATCTAAAAATAAACCCCATTCAATAAAAAGAAAACAGCTTTATGATTTGGTAGTTACTCAAAGCGTTGCCACTGAAAATCTGTAACAGCGAAAAAAAAAATATATATATATATTTACGTACTGACCTGCAATGACTTTCTGGATATCTTCGGCAGTCACGTGGCCTCCGACCTTGGATTGTTCGTTAAGGATGACAACTGCCGCGGGAGCTTCGCCGTAGACTGGATGGGGTAAACCGATGACAGCCACGTCATCGATTCCTTCGTGGCTGGTCATCAGCAAGTTTTCCAGCTCGGCCGGAACCACTTGGTTGTCCATGCATTTGATCATCTCTTTGATCCTCTCCACGAAATAAAACCTGCCGTCCTCGTCGTAGTACGCCAGATCCCCTAGGAATTGAGAAATAAAAAAGCACGGAAGACTCGCAGACGTTAGGTAAGTTGCTCGATTGCATGCCACAGCTAATGCCATTTTTTCTTTACTCTTGCCCAGGGTCGCGAGTCACGTTTAAAAGGTGTTAATGCGCGCTTTTCTCGTTCAGTTTTTCATTCCTTCCCTAATCACTAACAGCATAAGAATTGCAGGGCGTGGCGACTCACGAGCAGCTTATTATTCTTTCAGCCAATGAGATTTGCGGCATGAGTCGATAAGAATGCCAAAGAACCAACCACGAAGCAAGCATCGTGAATATAATAGGCCCTGTGTTGCCTAGACTGTCGTTGACTACAGTTGATGTACACACATATAATAAGATACTAGTGGCACATTTATTTGTGTCAGAAGTGTTTGATTATGAAAAAATCTTTGTAAAAGTTTACACATGAAACTTTATCTATCGCGGTTTACAGACAAAAATAGCTTTTACAAAACAAAAGCTATTTTTGACATCTTTTTCTAACAAAACGTTATCTGTACTTCGTATGCATTTAATTTTTATATTGTTTAACCTTGTGAGTATGCCCTTCGGCTTCGCAGTGATGAAGTAAATAAAGAAAGCAAGCGAGCTAGCTCAAGATCCATATGACAGCCCGTGAGTATTTGACTTGCGCGTGTGTTTTGATTTTCTGCTTTTAACAATACGGGCTCTAGTATGCGGGAATAATTATTTTTCGTTCGTGTATGTATCGTTCGTGAAAGTTGCGGTTCACTGTTTTGTATTCAGTGTTTGATGCTAGTGTTCTAAGCGTAGAGTTTGAACATGCGCTTGAGGTGAGTGCCCAAAGGTGCAGAAACAAAGATGGGGCAAAACAAAAGCTTCAGAGATGTGACACAACTCTGAAGCTTTTGTTTACATTTTCAAATAATTATTTAGTATCCTATCTTGCATATTTTGCACAACACTGGCTCTAGAAACATATAGGCTATGCTTCTTTTTACTACTTTTGAATAGGGGGAGTGGAACAGAAGTACACCCTTCTTTGAACGTAGCTTATAGATTCAGTGTCCCTTTAAGTCTGTAGACTTAAAGGGACACTGAAACACCCCGAAATGTTTGCCATATTTTTTGCCCGGTGATTCACTATGGTGTCAGAAGACTACCCAATCAACATTTTGCTACAGCGTCACGTATATTTTTTAATAAAGTAAAAAACGCAACTGCTCAAAACCAAAACCGAAACTGGACTGGGGAGGAAAAGAAATACAAAAGGAGGAGAGAGTTGGCGGAAGTAACGCAACTTTTTTTTTTTCAATTAATGTATTTGCTTTTTTTTAATGCACGAAAAATTGCTATCTTATTTCTTTCTAATATTAATATTGAGCGTGCGCCTTCGATGACCCGCGCCTTTTATTATATTTGATGGTTGTGTCTAAACCATAGAAAACGGCTGGTGGTCACGGAGAAGACTGTGAGCGCGACTCAAACCGGCCAGTTCACGATGGCCGATTTTTGGGAGAAAAGGAAACAAATTTCGAGCCGCACAATGTGTTCTGGGTAGTTGCGCTCTCATATGTCATGTACAACTAAATCAGCTTGGCGAGCATTAATACCCTGTCACTGTCCCACTAACCAGAAGTCCAGGAACTGCAATCGTCCGTCTCCTGGCTCCTCATGAATGAATTTTAAGCCACTACAACACCACCCGAACAAACTCCAACACCTCCTTCACGTGACTAGTTAGTGTGTCAGTCTTTTTGCTAAGAATGAGCAAATCATATACATATCTGAAGACTGGAGCTGTTCAAGTCAAGACGCTTCTCTGGAATGACTCTTCTGTATAGACACTTAGGAAAATGTTGAAGAAAACAGGCGCCACACAAGAACCAATGCAGATGCACCCCTTTTGCAAAAAAAGATCCTTTAAAAAAAAGTGATTTATGTAAAATGTCAAAAGCTCTAGAAAATATTCGAAGTGGGCTGTAAAACGGAAGAATGCCGTTATGATCAATGCAAAGTAAACGGAAAATCCTTGAAATTTGGTTTACACTGCTGCAACCGATTGTGACCGAGACCAACGAAACGGAGTTTCAAGCAGCTGACGATCGCCATCGTTCGTGCGCGGCCCGGCCTAAAGCTCTCGCAAGACGCTTAAAAACTAGGGGTGTGCGAATATGGAAATTTTCGAATACGAATCAAATACGAATAAGAGGAAAAACTGACTTCGAATATCCAATCGAATATGGAATATGTGTCGAGTAATAAAAAAATTGCAAAACACGAGGTAACAGCAGGTTTTAGTACCCTTTTAAAATAAACTAGTGAAACTGCATATTACTGGGCTGCAGCAGGTTACATATAGTTTTAGCAATGCACTCATTGCAAAGTATCAGGTATCAAAAATTAACTGATCGACGTGTCCAAAACCTAGGCGCTCCCTATGGACCGTGACAACACTTCCGCCACTATAAAAGACCCTTTCACTCGGGATTGATGTACCGGGGATGGCCAAGTACTTGTGGGCGAGTTTGCTTAAATGCGGGTACTTGAAGTGGCCAATGCACTGCCACACTGGAACTTCCCTCTGTGGGGCAGGTGCCAACTCAGCCTTCTCCTTGTTTGTCACTAGATGGCCAAAAGCGTGCCATTCATTAAATGATACCAGTGGACACGAAGACGACGCTGGCATGGCAGTGTCCCCACTTGGTTCCACGTCAGCTGTCTAAAGCTCCCATGTCACAAGGTCTTTCAGCCGGATCATATGGCCAAACGCTTGATGAACTGTGTCTTTAAAACGAGGGTCAAGAAACATGGCCAGGCTGGCCACATCATCAAAGTCACACTCCGCAAAGCGAGTCTTGATACATTTTTTTAGATTGTTAGCAAACCCCGAGTTACTTTTGCAACCTTCAAGACAATTCAACATTCCAAAATTATTAAAATTTGGCATGACAATGAGGGTACTTTCCAGCACTGTGATCACTGTTGCCTCGAACAAAAGCTTCAATGCCTCCACAAACTCCACTTCATCTTTGTACTCGGCACAGTTAAATCCATCTATGGTAGTGTCCGAAGTGGCAAGCTCAAAAATGATGGCTTCTTTGAGTTGGAGGAGCCTTGAGAGCATGAGGTACTGACTATTATATCTTGTCTCAACATCCTGCACAACATACAGAATGAATTTGTTCAGCTGCGTCTCGAGATCGTCTAGTCGTTTCTGCGCTCTAGGGTTGTGCTTGTAATGTCTTACAATCGATCTCGCCTTCTTGCACACTTTGTTGTGGGGTACAGTTCCTCGCATCGCTGATCGCCAAATGAACTCTGTGCGCGAAACAGGCTCGCTCGAACCATGGCAGCCTCCTCGCAGCCACACGGATATTGCGGCCATTGTTTGTAACGATGTACTATCGGGGAAAAATGAAATGCGAACAGAGGAGCGCGTGGCTCGCGGTACAGGCTGAGCCGCCTAGAAGTGAGCCTAGGGGCGAGGGTGCGTGGCCTACTTCGATGTGTTCACGCCCCTCGATTGGCGCTCCCCCAGCTTCGGCAGTGCGCCTCTCAGTGCGCTGAAAGCTGTCACCGCTATCTTTGCCTGCTTGGCGACTGCGGCGAGCTTCTTTGCACCGCACGCGCTGAGCCAGCAAAGATAGCGGTGATAGCTTTCAGCGCACTAAGAGGCGCACTGCTGAAGCTTGGGGAGTGCAGAGGGAGGGGCGTGAACACGTTGGAGCAGGCCACGCACCCTCGCCCCTAGGCTCACTTCCAGGCGGCGCAGCCTGTACCGCGAGCCACGCGCTTCTCTGTTCGCATTTCATTTTTCCCCGATAGTACATCACGCAGTCGGTCGGTCTCTACCAATTTGCGCATAGTTGCTCCACTGAAGCGGCAGTGTTTACTGCTGTCTTACTCTCCGGCATATGTCGCGCGCGTGTTCAAAGTGAACCTTTCTATCTCAAATTTCACTGTGACGGAATGACACGTAAGGCTTAAAAAACTCCTGTTGACACACGAGGTCCAGATATCACTCGTAAAAGAGAGAGTGCTTGTGCCGTCATCAAGTGCCTTTGTCAGTTCAAACCGTATCTTTGCTCTTGTGTCGCCGTACAGGCGTGGGACGGGCACGCGCGATAATTTTGTTCGAGATGGCAGACTGTAGCCGCGGTACGACTTCGTTCATGAGTGCTTTGAGCCTCCGGTCTTCAACAAAGCTTGTAAGATTTGAGATCTAATGCGACCATATCTGCCACTTTCTGATGAAGTGCGTTTTCTTTCTTACGTGACAATGGCTGCTTTCTCTGTTCATTCAAGTATATCATCCAGTACGGGTTCACTCTTCGACGGCGTGTTCACTGCATCTTTTTTGTTCTCTTCCAATGACAAAGGGTGCTTTTTCATCTGATTTTCAATAGTTGTGGCTGTTCCCGTCAGCGTTTGAAGAACACGTTCACACGAATTGCGCTGAGCTGTCCACGACGAGAGTCCTGTGTAGTAACTTCAAAGAAGACTTTTTTCGGCTTTCTTTTTCTGCTTGCTCGCTAGTTTATCATCCGCCGTTGATGCCGTTCTCAGAGAACACGCTCCAGCAAGGACGGTATCAGCCACTTCGGTATGAGCGCCAAGAGAGTTACGCTGCTTACGCAGGCTTTAGCTGCGCGGGAGTGGCGGGAGTTGTGGATGATGATGCAATGTTTTGCTCGCACCTAGCTTTTTTTGGTTTTAACATCCAAACATTTATGGTTTATTTTATAGTATCAATTTCTAGATCGTACAATTAAGAAATATTGCTATACAAGTTCCATGCAATAAAGGGCTTGGTGAAAAAGAAACCGCCACTGATCCTGTCTTGCCCCCATCGGACAGAGACGGAACAGACCGGTAACGCACGCATTATACGCATTTCTCAGTGAATATACGTATTCATAGGGGAATGCGTAGCAGGCAGATTATTCGTTACCTGCTCAAATGTTCGCAGTTTGTGCAAATATTCGCCGTTTTTCCCGAATATTCGGCCACGGCCGAATATTCGGGAACTTCCGAATATGTAAGTTTCGAATCAAGTACGCTTCGAATAAGGAAAATATTCCATTCGTATTCGAAATTTCGAATATCCGCACACCCCTATTAAAAACCGGTTGCAGTCGCGCTGGGTCCGACTCATGCAGGTGTGCGAAACGACTTTGAGGCTGCGTGAGTCTAGCGTTTCAACTACGAAAAGCCTGTTGCGGTAAGTCCGTTGGATTTTCGCAGAGTGGGATATATTCCCCGAGTAAACAGTTTGAGTTCTCTTCGAGCGCTTTTAGCGAAGAGAAAAATGGCTCAAGCCTCAAGAAAACGAAGAAGTTTCTACGCGGGACTGCGCTTACCTGAATGACACCATCCATCTCGGTCTTTAAACGCCGCGGTGGCTTCGGGTTTCTTGTAGTAGCCCCTCATGACACAAGGATTCCTGAACTCTAGCTCGCCAACTTTGTTGGGTCCTAACTTCTTTCGAGTGTCCACATCGACGATCTAGGAACAAACAAATGTCGATATTAAGACGTTGAACTCCACGAGCCTGGTTTAGCGAACACCTCGAGTTCAAGTGCATTAACCGGCACTGACGTTTCCTAAATAGTTACTTTGCGGTGTGACGCGTAGCAGATGCATTTCTACTCGTAGAGCTGAATCATTTACAATTACAAATTTACGCTACAATTACAGTTGAGAGCTGACGACATATATGTCAAACCCGTGAAGCTTGTGACCGACTTTAGTTTTCCTTGTTTACCACATATTTACAACCTTGCTCCTACGCCAGGCGTGTTTTCCATAGGTATGCAAATCGCTAAAATAACAGTATTGTGCAGGCAGGAGATAGAACTACTATGGAGAACTGTCGCCCTATATTGCCGCGCGCGCAGCTAGCCAAGTGTAGGCAGCGCACTTCGCTCCCACGCAGATTTCCGGGGTTCGAATCCCGCTACCGCTTTTCGTTTCTTCTTCCTCTAAGTAAGTAGAGATTCTCGAACGTTGGAGAGTCGTGTAGCTGGTTCATGCTCAGAAAGTATACCTTCAGAACGAACCAGGTACAATGTCGACGTTAATGTTCTAAGCTCCCAGGGAAGGCTGAAAAGAAGCCGCGCCACGCCGTAGGGGGTCAGCGTGATCTAAAGGACTAGAAACCGCAAGAAAAAACACGGATAAAGAGACACATACAACAGGGACTGGTGCTAACTTTCATCTGATTTAATCAAGGCAAACCACCCAACGCACATGCGTGAACACTCTTTCCCATCACGTTAGCCACACCCTATAAAAGCAACCCATATACACAAACAACAGATGACAATGATATAAACATTCCTATCAGAGCAACGTGGCTACATGGGAATCAAGAACGCGCATTCGGCATTCTCGATTGATGTAGAGGATTTGTTTTATTCAGTACCACACAGAGGACTCTTTGATGCTGTTCGCGACAAAATCTACCAATAAAACAAAATGTGTTTAAAATATTACAGGCGTTAGTGACCGTTTTTTACCGTTGTTGGAATTATATCTGCGGTCGAAGTCGTCAACTTGAACGATGAGTTTTATGTGCAAAAAGCGGGTATTTGTGTTGGTTCTTCGGTAGCTCCAGTTTTATGTGATCGTTTTTAGCATCCATGGACAAGCGCATACTGGAAGGCCTTAAGATGCATGTGCTTAAGATTTTTAGATATGTAGGCGATTTTCTGGTTATTGTGGATGATCACTCGGGGATAAGTTTTAATGACGTTGTTACAAAGGTCGTCAACCTGTTTGAGGCCAAGTTGGACGGCTTGAAGTTTACCTGGGAGCTTCCCATGAACACGTGCATCCAGTTTCTAGACGTACAAGTTACTTTTACAGATCAACACGTGTGCTGGTTGTACAAACCACGTTCAAAAAGAACCACTTGTCTTTTGATAGCGCTCATTCTAACCTGATAAGGCGAGGAATTGCTCTCACCTGACTTCAGGCTTCTCTGACGAAAAAGCTGCCATGACGACTAGCTTTGAACTGAAGGTAGGGCACTTAGACAGGGCGGGCTACCCCGCCTGCCTGATTACCAGCGTGTGTGAAAACATCCTACAAAAGATTAAAAGTAAAGGCAACACAGGGGACGGTAAGCGAGAAAGAGTTAAAAAACCAAATTTACACAAGGTTTCGCATAACTTTAAAAAAATTGGAATTAAGTACGGCTCAATGCTGTTTTCTCCGCTCCATGCAAGGTGGCAAAAATGTGTCCTATGATGACTAGACAGAAACGTGTTGAATTCTCGAAGAAGCAAGTCACTCAGTACACAACTTGTGCCTCTAATGTTGTTTACAAGATTCCGCTAACGTGCGGGCGCGTGTATATTGGACAGACTGGGCGGTGTCTTAACGAAAGGGCCAGTGAACATGGTCTAGCGTTTCCCATAGAAATGCATTACCGGAAGTCAATTTCCGACTGGTTGCTGTCTGCTTCAATTTGCAGCAAGCCACTAGCGCTTGTGGGACCTCTGGAGTACTTTATAAAAACTCCATGTTTTTTTCCGCCAGGTTACAAAAGTTTGATGGCGTACAATGAATGCTGGTTAAATGCGACGCCAGCCAAATGAAAAACATGCGCAAAATGCGGTTTCTTAGACTGCCTGATCGGCTTGCAATTCATACAACAGGTGACGCCACCCACCAAAGAGCGCGGGAAAATTGGAATGCTGTTTTTGCTATTACCCTCATTTTCCGTTTTCTCAGTAACTGCCGCACCTACACTAACGCTTCGATCCGAATTTGAACGGTCCGGAAAAATCGGGTTCTCAACGTATCGCGCTGGGATTCAATACAGAGGTGCCCAAAAGTGGTCCATTCATTAATAGAGAGTATGAATACTTGAAACTTCCGAAGTCAAAAGAGAGGAGATAAAACTGGTTTTGTCTATTCAATCAGAATCATAAACAATCGTTCTGCACTATCCTGGCGTTTAATACGACTGAAATATTTGTAAAATGGAAATAAAATACAATGGGCTTAGACATTCTCTACTTTATTTGGCCCAAATAAACGCCACAGTGACACAAAATATGATTTAACTATACATGCAAAGTATAGTGAAAACATATTTTTTGATTTTTTGTGATTTCCTCAGATGAGTCAGTCTTCCCAGAGTATTGTTGAAAGCTTCCATCGGCTTCGAGCACTTTCGTAGTAGATCTTGAGAACGAAGCCTTAGTGCACACCAACGTTTGTGTACACGTAGTATTGTATTTTTGAGGAGTGGCCGATGTTGGTAGTGAGGTGGTTGTCCGAGAGGTCCTGTCGGGTACCTTGTCAATGTCGGGAAAGAGGTGGCAGCCGCTGCTGCAGCCGTCGTCGTGGTCGGGGAGTAGAAGTCGGGTTCATCCGTGAAGGGGACCAGGTAACGGCGGGGGCCCGCGTCCGCGCGGACCCCGCCGAGGGCGAGGAAGGACACCGGTGACTGTCGACTTGTTTATTCCGAATCTCAAGGTAAACTGTTCCAAAGCGACACTAGCATGCACGAGCTGAGCACGCGACACTGCATGTGGGGCACGCGCTTCTCTGGTTCAGAATTCAAGCCGTACGACCGCTGAACTCAAAATACTACATTCTCCCTTCCTTAATAATTTTTTTTTTACACAAACATAATGGGAGAATAAAAAGCCAAACAAAGAACACAAAGCACTATGAAGCAAGCCCCTATTCTCCCTTTCTTAATATTTTAACATTTTCTAAAACAAAAGCTAAGTACTACAAAAACACGACTCTGGTTTCGTAATGAAGACCCAAGAAGTAAAAAGTCAAGTCCGGTGAAAAGGAAGTGTCATTTCGATAGGTTCACTCCAATTTGAAGAAAACGCCGGCTCATGCATGCGCATGTTAGTTCGTTGAAAATGTTCAAGCGTTATTGCTCTCAAAACTTTGTTACTTTGATAGTCGAACTCAAAACTCCTTTCAAAAATTAAGCCTATTCCTGGCACCACTCGTCTTGGACGCAAGAGGTGCTAATTCTTCCGCATACGGCAGTGCCAAGGAACGTAGCTGCTCACCAGCAAAAGCGAAGCACAACGCAAGGTGATTTGTCCGAAATCTCTTGGCGCGTGCGGGCGTTCTCTTTCTCTAAGTTGTGTCGTGAAAGTCATATGCAGCAGAATACCCAGGCTTTGCAGGGGAACCAGGCGCTGCAGGAACATGAGATGCAGCAGAAAACCGGGCCTCACGTGAAAAGCAGGCGCTGCACTCTTTCATCTCGGCGAAGTGTCAATAAAGACGGGTGGCCATCTTTCAAACAGTCATGTCGGGAGGCAGGAGCTTGCGGCCATCTTGGGCACTGACTTGGATCGGCGTCGGAGCATCACGACGATAAAAAAAACAGCTTGAGCGTAACTACGCTACACTTCTGAACCCTCCGGACCTCAGCCTGAACGTACAACACAAAAACAAAACTCGATTTGAAGAAAGTCCACGTCATCGCAGGGCGGACGGGATGTAAAAAAATTGCTGCCTCTGAAGGCCAGCTGCTCGGCCAGGGCTTATTTCTCGCCTGCAACAATGTTCACGTCATCGCAGGGCGGACGGAACCGAAAACAAAATGCTGTCTCGCAAGACCAGCTAACTCTCTCAGGGCTTATTTCTTGCCTGGAACATTGATTCTGGAACGCGCTGCGTCCAAAAAAAAAAAAAAAAGAACAGTAAAGCTACAAGAAAAAAATGAACTCGGCGTTCGAAACGCTAGGCGTACAGGAGTTCCGAGACGCTCTGGTTCGGAGAAACGAGTACTACCTGGCTCGAAGTAGGCCGCACGAAAAGAAACAGACAAAAGTAGAAAAACCAAACGCTAGCTCGACTGGCCCGAAATAGTGATAACGAAACGCCGCAAGGCTGCGAAGAAAGAAACGTCCAAGATGCGCCGGTTCATGCCAACTATGCGACCGGGACGCAGTGCTTGCCTTAAAACTGTCGTTGCCCTTTTGGAATCCCATCCTCGTCGCCATATTGTATTTTCGGAGGTGGCCGATGTTGGTAGTGAGGTGGTTGTCCGAGAGGTCCTGTCGGGTACCTTGTCAATGTCGGGAAAGAGGTGGCAGCCGCTGCTGCAGCCGTCGTCGTGGTCGGGGAGTAGAAGTCGGGTTCATCCGTGAAGGGGACCAGGTAACGGCGGGGGCCCGCGTCCGCGCGGACCCCGCCGAGGGCGAGGAAGGACACCGGTGACTGTCGACTTGTTTATTCCGAATCTCAAGGTCAACTGTTCCAAAGCGACACTAGCATGCACGAGCTGAGCACGCGACACTGCATGTGGGGCACGCGCTTCTCTGGTTCAGAATTCAAGCCGTACGACCGCTGAACTCAAAATACTACACGTAGTATCCTGTATTCAAAGATAATAGGCAGTTTTCGTAGATGGGTTTCGCCGTCCCGCAACGCTCTCCGCACCCACTACAATACCAGGAACTCTACAGTCAAGGCCATCGGCGCGCAGGCGCAGTAGCGGTTTCTATTTTGCGGAG